AAATTAGGTACCATGGTCATGTTTTGGGATTTAGAGCTAGATTTATAAATATACCAGACCCATCTATCATGTATTCTAACAGTGCAGTTATTTACATAAATATCAATGTATTTGATGTATGCATTTGCTGACATATTAAAATTTAAAGATCTGTATTTTTTTTTTCAGAATGCCAAGAAAAGGCCCAGCTTATAGTGTTACCTTTTCCATCCAAAAGTCTGTCTTTCCATTGTAACTCCAACATTTTTTTCTTTCCTAATGTCCTGCATTGAATTTGGAACTAATTTCATAGACTGTATGTTTTGTTTTTCAGGTCAAAGACAGTAACTGCATTTTCTCATTGAAATAGCAAGTAATTTGCATAGATTGTGTTTTGTTTTCAGGTTAAAGAAATTACTAACTGTATATTTTCTATTTAAAATTGGAACTAATATTTGAATAGATTTTGTGTTGTTTTTCAGGTTAAAGACCATAACTGTATTTTCTCATTGAAATTGGAAATAATTTGCAAATATTGTGTGTTTTGTTTTTCAGGTTCAGGACAAGAACTATTAATTTTCTCATTGAAATTGGAACTATTAATTTGCCTTGATTGTGTGTTTTGTTTTTCAGATTAAAGAGGGTATAACTACTATTTTCTCATTGAAATTGGAACTAATTTGCATAAATTGTGTTTTGTTTTTCAGGTTCAGGACAATAACTATTAAGTTTCTCATTGAAATTGGTACTAATTTGCCTAGATTGTGTGTTTTGTTTTTCAGATTAAAGAGGGTATAACTACTATTTTCTCATTGAAATTGGAACTAATTTGCATAAATTGTGTTTTGTTTTTCAGGTTCAGGACAATAACTATTAATTTTCTCATTGAAATTGGTACTTAAATTTGCCTAGATTGTGTGTTTTGTTTTTCAGATTGTAGAGCATATAATTAATTTTTTTCTCATTGAAATTGGAACTTTTTTCAGGTTAAAGACAGTAACTGTATTTTCTCATTAAAAATGGAACTACTTTGAATAAATTGTGTGTTTTGTTTTTCAGGTTCAAAACAGTAATTAATAAGTGTATTTTTCATTGAAATTGGAACTAATTTAAATACATTGTTTTGTTTTTTTTTTTTCAGGTTAAAGACATATAGTAACTGTATTTTTTCATTTGAAATTGGAACTAACTTGCATAGATTTTCTCAGTTCTGTTTTTCAGGTTTAAGAAGTAATTGTATCAGTTTTTTGTCATTATTGAAATTCGAACTAATTTGAATTGATTGTGTGTTATGTTTTTCAGGTTTAAGAAGTATAATTACTAACTGTATGTATTTTCTCATTGAAAGTGGAAATAATTTGCACAGATTTTGTGTTTTGTTTTTCAGGTTAAAGACCGTAACTATTGTCTTATTGAACTTGGAACTAATTTGAATAGATAGTGGATTTTTTTTGTTTTGTTTGTTTTGTTTTTTCAGGTTCAAGAAGTTACTAATTGTATGTATTTCTCATTGAAATTGGAACTAATAGATTGTGTCTTTTGTTTTTCAGGTGAAAGACAATATATATATCCATTTTCTTGCATTAAAATTGAAACTTATTGGAATAGATCATGTGTTTGTTTGTTTGGGGTTTTTTTTCAGGTTATAAACAGTAACTGTATTTTCTCATTGAAATTGGAACTAATCTGCATATATTGTTTTTTGTTTTCAGTTTAAAGACAGTAACTAATGTATTTTTTTTTATTGAAGATACAAGTAATTTGTAGATCATTGTCTGTCTGTCTGACTGTTTGCTTCAGGTCCCATTAATACAATTTGCAGATATTAAAGCAAACCTATAAATGCATTGTTTATACTGCAGATATTGCAGCAAACCTATAAATGCTTTTTTTTATATAATGCACACTTCAGAAGCTGCATATTGAGAGGTATACCTTTCAGGCTTATCATTGACTATTGTTTAGGATTAAACTGTCTTTAGTTTCATCTGACAAAAAGATTGAGAATTAAAAATTATTCTGATAACCAAACTTGACCAGGTATATTTTAATAATTATTATGAATATAAGAATTAGCATTGGGATGCACACATTGAATCAACATCAACAATTAATGTAGTATTGTACACATGACATTTCTGTGATATATCTGGGATTATGGGAATTTATTGTAGTATTGTACACTTGACATTTCTATGATATATCTGGGATTACAGGAATTTATTGTAGTATTGTACACTTGGCATTTCTATGATATATCTGGGATTATGAGAATTTATTGTAGCATTGTACACATGACATTTCTTTGATATATCTGGGATTATGGGAATTTATTGTAGTATTGTACACATGACATTTCTATGATATATCTGGGATTATGGGAATTTATTGTAGTATTGTACACATGGCATTTTTATGATATATCTGGGATTATGGGAATTTGTTGTAGTGTTTTATACATGACATTTCTATGATATATCTGGGATTATGGGAATTTATTGTAGTATTGTACACATGGCATTTCTATGATATAACTGGGATTATGGGAATTTATTGTAGTATTGTAAACATGGCATTTCTATGATATATCTGGGATTATGGGAATTTATTGTAGTTTTGTTCACATGACATTTCTATGATATATCTGGGATTATGGGAATTTATTGTAGTTTTGTACACATGACATTTCTATGATATATCTGGGATTATGGGAATTTATTGTAGTATTGTACACATGGCATTTCTATGATATATCTGGGATTATGGGAATTTATTGTAGTGTTGTACACATGACATTTCTATGATATATCTGGGATTATGGGAATTTATTGTAGTATTGTACATATGGCATTTCTATGATATATCTGGGATTATGGGAATTTATTGTAGTATTCTATGATACATCTGGGATTATGGGAATTTATTGTAGTACATGTATTTTACACATGACATTTCTATGATATATCTTGGATTATGTGAATTTATTGAACAATAGTATTGTACACATGACAATTGTATGATATATCTGGGGTTATGGGAATTTATTGTAGCATTGTACAGATGCCAATTTCTATGATATATCTGGGGTTATTGGAATTTATTGTAATATCAGACCTGGCAACCCTTCCACTTTTGGCATAATTCTTCTGCTTTCTAAAACTAAAATAAGTTGTTATGCCATGACAATCAATTTTATGCTTTTAAAATTTTTATGCTGAAAAAATGCATTATGTAATATTTTTATGTTGGTCAGTTATGATTATTGCTTCCTTTGTATTATACTTTAACAGTACCATAAGCTCAAGAAGTATTTAACACAATTTATTGAATATCTTCTCGCTCAATTTAATGCTAGTAGGTTGTAATTAAATGTAAACTGTAATTTGCAATGACTTAATGACTATCACAAGCAATTGACCAATTACTTCATAAAGGTTAAAGAAATGATAAGATTTGTCTGAATGTTAGAATGTCGTCGTTTTACAACAAATGAAGTTAATGTTAATAATGAATGATTTAAAACATTTTTACTCTCTTCATTTTATGATATATAGCAGGCAGAATTGTTTAGATGAGATAGAAATGCGATGAGATGACAAAATTGTAAAATTTGAAGAATTATGCTTTTGCCTCTGAAATTCCACCAAAATTAAGCTTTAGACTACATTTCTGCAATGAAAAGGGTAGGCAGGTCTGTTGTGTTGTACACGACATTTTCTGTAATATCATCTGGGGTTATGGGAATTTGTTGTAGTACACATACACATGACAATATTCTATGATATATCTGGGGTTATAGGAATTTAAGTATTGCACATGTGATGTTTTCTATGATATATCTGGTGTTATGGGAATTTATTAGATTGTACATAAGTTATTATCTGCAATTTATCTTGGGGTTTTGGAATTTATTGTAGTATTGTACACATGACTGTCCTATCTATGGTTTATTTGAAGTAATTGGAATTTCTTGTAGAATTTCCACATGACAATTTCTATGGGATTATGGAAATTTATTGTAGCATTGTATTTATGACATTTTCTCTGATTGATCTGAAGTTATAGGAATTTGGCATGATATTGTACAAACAACATTTTCTGTGAATTATATGGGGTGTGTAATGAAAATGCCATGGAGTGGAGAAATTCTAGATGCTCTTGAAAGTTAATTGTTGGCCATGGAACTGTAAATGCTGACCTCTGTCTAAGCAAGGAAACTGTTAAGGTCACAATGAGTCTGGAATTGTGTGCATATACATGTTCAGTTCAGTTTTTATCTGAGACCCAACAGAATACTGTACAAGAAGAGGCAAAGGAAACGGACTGAAGACATGAAGGTGCTGAAGACGAGAAGCGATACCAGTTTTTGTATAAATACAGAAGCCAGTGCAGGTATGGTATTTGCAAATTTGTTAATTAAGGAAGCTCTGAACACTTCTTACTGAAGAGTTCTGATTCTAAGGAAGTTACGCAGTTGGAATGATCTGCCCTGTTTTGTGAAATGGAATAAACAGAAACAATTTACAGTAAATGACACAATATAAAAATGACTACGTGTATCCATAATATATTGGACCAAGATAAAGATCTTATTAAAAAAAAACATATGTATATTTCCTTAATGAATTAGTAAACATCAGTGATTTTTGTTCCATAATACTTTTTTGGACATTTTATCTGGAGAAATACGGCAAGCACCTTTTGTCAAAGGTGAAGATAAAAATCTACATTTTCATAATTATATGATATAATTATTGATTTTCTTAAAAGAGATAGAAAACATTTTCATGCATGTTTATAAGAGCTTTCTTAAAAGATCTATTTAACCATGATTTTGTGGGAATAAATGATGTAGACGTATTAATATCCTGTTGTACAATGTAATTAAATTATACCAAAAGAATGACAAGTAGATGTCTCTTACAGCCAAGATCGACACTGATGGTAATCCCCATCTAATGAACATCCTGCTAACTTGACCTTAGATTTACCACCATTCATACCAGAAGTTTGAAATCATGGAGAGGAGAGTGGCTATGGAGAAATATGCTGAGGGAAACATGAAGAAAGAAAACATGACGGCCTTAGTGAAAGAAATGATATTGTAAGCAAAATTATGATTTATAGAAAATACCTCTTACAAGGTAATTAATTTAAATGTAGTCTGTAGATCAAAAATATTCTGTGAACCCTATTTTAGCAAGATGATTTTTTGATGCATGTATTCTTGCAAAGTGAAATTTTAACAAAATTAGTTAATGATTTACAAATTGATCCTTTCTGAATTAAATATATATATGAGAGTGAAATATTCACTTACAGAATTCTTTCATATTAGTACACAAAAATAAAGTTCTTGAAAAAAAGGTGATTTACAGTATAGATGTAAATACTGTAACCCAACTATTATTCGTGTTATCTTTTATTCGTGACTCGTTAGTTTGAAATCGATCCACGATGATTAATTTTTGCAAATGAGGAATTATTCTATACAAATACAAAGCAAAATAAATGGTTCGCGGTGATTAATATTCACGAGTTAAAGTAGGTTGTGAAATTCGCAAATATTTCTTGCACACGAATAATAGTTGGTTTACAGTAATTAACATACAGTACATTTATAATTATAAGACAATTTTTTTTTATTTTAGGGCTATTTCACAGAAGAGGAGGGAAGAATTCAAGAAGTTTTTCGGGATTTAGAGTTAGCTAAAATTTAAGATGGATTTTTTGGTAAATTTAAAATTTAACTTTTTATCATATTAAAAAAATATTTAAAGATGAAGGAGCAGCATTTATCAGTAATGCTAACTTCTGTTATGATTCTCTTCACAGATGTGGCAATTGTAGACTGGTAGAATTTATCTGCTGTGAATTTGACCAGGATGTATCGGACTGCCTTGATCAACTGTCCGTATAATCATTATGGTAAATATCAAAATTCGATTTTAGCCATCTGAACACTTGCCAAATAATGCCAAATTTTAATCCTAGCTAAAATTTCTGCTTTTGCATGTAGTAATGCGTATTCATGAATGATTAATATTCACGAGAATATAATTATTTTAATATTTAATTAGTTCTGGAGGGTCCAAACTCAAACCTAACATTCTTGAGGTACTACAAGCCTTAGGAGAGAAGCCATTTGCCATAAAATGTCCAAAATACATTTGAAGTGATGATCATCATCAATGGTAATTTTTTATTTTAAAGATTACGTCGTACTGTATTGTTCAGAAATGCGTAGAACGCAGGTATGGATTCCGGCAGAGGTGCTTCATACGCTTGCCCCCTCTAAAACAAAAAATAAGAGATAATTTTCATTGTCTTACATTGATGTAAGACAGTCATTTATGATATTGATTAAAAGTCATTTATGTGCTAAAATAAGATTCTACAAATTGTGAACTATCAGGAGCTTTGGGGGGGGGGGGGGGGGGGCTTTTCCCCAAACCTCCAACTGGACACTGCCTCTCTGGGACCTCAGCAGAACCAATGCCCCTTGCCATTTTAAAGCACCTTCTCTGGGAAAGCAAAATCCTGGATCCACACCTGAAATGTACTTGTGTGAAAGATTTTCTAATTTAAGATTTTTATATAGTTCTGGAAAGCTAGGCTTTACTCATGATGCCTGTCATTACAGGGTTTGAGCTATGTTTTATTAATTTTTTTCTTTCGCGAACAAACAGTCTAACTTGTATTATTGTAGGATAATAAAGTTCTTGTGAATAAAAAGGGATTAACAGTTCTAGTCTTGAAAAATTTACTTCTTCTATTCAATTAAAGTTATTGAAATAAAGTTAGTTAATAATCAACATGAATTATTATTACATTTACACATTTAAATGATTCTCTTCGAGAAGGTTTATTCCAGAATTGGCATAGATCGATGAATGATATTGAAAATAACCTTTAAATCATTTTAAAATTTTTTTAAGTATTTGGTTCTTTTAATATTTCAGGCTTTGGGTGAAGGTTGTCTGTAATTGCCAAGTCAACATTTACCGAGCCAATATCTGGTGCCTCTCACAAGCTGAAGAATATATAGAAAAACCAACATTCGTCCCATTTGATCTTGCAGCTACCAGACTTGGTAAGTTGTTCAACTAAGATCCTAGTTTTGGCAAAAAGTGGTTGTTTCTATCATTATCTATCATTAACTTTGTCTAAAATATCACAGTAAAAAATGAAAATAAGGGGGGGGGGATGTTTCTATAGACTAAGAACATTATTTTAGGCAAAATTGGGTTGTTTCTATTATTATTATCTGCATTAATACCCTTAATACTTGTACTTTATATATCATGGTAAAAAAATATAATTTAATGTTGTATTTCTATAGTGTTGGACAAGGAGCCTTGCCCTGTATTACTCAAACTGGAGCGGTGGAGGTAGAGTCCGGGGATATTTTCACTATCTGTGTTCTTCCCAGAATTCCTATATGGCCTGGAGGTAGACTCCGGAGATATTAAAATTTCACTGTCGTGTTCTTCCAAGAATTCCCTTAGAGTCTGGAGCAGAGCAAACCACCAGAATAGTCTGTAATGGAACCTTAGTTTTTTCTCATGGATAATTTTGACAATTTTATTGTATTATTGTACAGATGGCATTTTCTAGGGTTAAGGAAATTCAGTGTAGCATTGTACTGACATTTTTATGAATTATCTTCGGTTACGAAAATTTAATTTTGTATTGTTTACTTGATATTTTCTAGGATTTATCTGGAGATATAGAAATTAATGCATTATTGTATTATACTTTATATGATTTATTTGGGTTATTTTAATTATTCAACTGTATAACTCTCTCTGTGGTAAGTTATGTGTAAGTTATTTTCTTTGAATTGTCTTGAATTAATATGAATTTTATACAGTATTGTATACTTTATTATTTCTATGATATACCTGGGGTCATTGGGATTATGGGAATTTATTGTAGTATTATATACTTTATATGACATTTCTGGGTTATTTGGGGTGATGGGAATTTATTGCAGTATTGTATACCTAATAGTTTTTATGATGTATGTGGAATTAAGTGGGATTATAGGGATTTCATGAAGCATTGTATTCTTTATAGTTTTTATGATATATTGGGGGTTAATGGGGTTAGGGAATTTCATGTTGTATACTTTATAGTTTCTAGGATTTATTCGGGGTTAATGGGGTTAGGGAATTTCATGTAGTATTGTGTACTTTATAGTTTCTTAGATATATCTGGGATTATTTGGGGTATTAGAATTTCATGTTGTTTTGTATTTATAGTTTCTATGATTTATTTGGGGTTGAGGGGGTTAGGGAATTTCATGTAGTATTGTATACTTTATATTTTTTATGATTTATTCAGGGTTAATGGGGTTAGGGAATTTCATGTAGTATTGTGTACTTTATAGTTTCTGTAATATATCGGGGGTAATTAGGGTTATGAGAATTTCATGTAGTATTGTATACTTTATATTTTTTATGATTTATTCGGGGTTAATGGGGTTAGGGAATTTCATGTAGTATTGTGTACTTTATAGTTTCTATACTATATCGGGGGTAATTAGGGTTACGAGAATTTAGTGTAGTATTGTATACTTTATAGTTTCTATGATTTATTTGGGGTTAATGGGGTTAGGGAATTTCATGTAGTATTGTGTACTTTATAGTTTCTGTAATATATCGGGGGTAATTAGGGTTATGAGAATTTCATGTAGTATTGTATACTTTATAGTTTCTAGGATTTATTCGGGGTTAATGGGGTTAGGGAATTTCATGTAGTATTGTGTACTTTATAGTTTCTGTAATATATCGGGGGTAATTAGGGTTATGAGAATTTCATGTAGTATTGTATACTTTATATTTTTTATAATTTATTCAGGGTTAATGGGGTTAGGGAATTCCATGTAGTATTGTGTACTTTATAGTTTCTATGATGTATATTATCTTGGGTTATAGGGATTTGTGTTGGGTTTTCATGCAGTATTGTATACTTTATAGTTTAAGAATAATAGAGTATTGAATACTTGTCTTTTTTTTTCACAAATTTTGTCTTTTTTAATGAGTTATCTAGCATTCTTGGAACTAATTATTGTAGTATTGTCCATTATTATTAGTATTATGTCATTAATTTTTTTGGATTTTTGGAATTTAATGTATTGTTTTGTATACATTACACGTCTAGGGTTTATCTGGGGTTATGGGAATTTAAAGTTAAGTATTTTACACATCACATTAAACTATGGGATTTTGTTGTAGCATCACACACATGGCATTTCTATAATATATCTAGGTTATAAAGATTTATTGTAGGATTACACACATATAACATTTTCTCTGATTTATCGAGCGGGGGTTATAGATTTATTGTTGTACTGTACACGTCACAATTTCCATAATTGATCTGGGGCTATAATTATAAGGTTATGGGAATTAATGGCCATATTACACACATTACATTTTCTCTGATTTATCTCGGGTTATGGGGTTTAGTTATAGTTTTGAACACAGGATATTTATTGATTTAGGGTTTTGGGAATTTAATAAATTATTTTAAACATGACATTTTCTATGAATTAATTATGGGGTAATGGAATTTAAATGTAATATTATACATATGGTTATAAGAATTCAATGTTATGTTGTACATGTCATGACATTTTCTATGATTGACCTTGGGATATGTAAATTTTTTGTTGTATTGTATACTTGTTAATTTTATAAAGTATCTGTGCTTTTGTAAATTTAATTTTGTATTGTTAACTTGAATTTTTTTATGATTTTGTCTGGGGTTACACAGGAATTTATTTTAGTTATAACTGCACACTTCATATTATCTGTGATTAATCTAGGGTTTTGGAAATTCAATATACCGGGTAGTACACAATTTTCTATGATTTCTGTGGGATTATGGGAATTAAATTTTTATTGCACACTTTACAATTACTATGAATTATCTAGGGCTATGGGAATCAAGTGTAGCATTGTACAGTCATTACATTTTCTTGGATTTATAGCTGCATGGGGTTATTAGAATTTATCGTGGTATGACACACTAATGTCTTCACATTTTCTATCATATAAATGAATATGGGGTTATAGGAATTTAATATAGTATATTGAATACTTGAAATTTTCTCTGATTTATCTGGGGTCATGGGAATCTATTGTAGTATTATACAATTGACATTTTCTATGAATTATCATTGGTTATGGGAATTCAATTAGGTACTGTGTATAGGTACTTGAAATTTTCTATTAGCTTCTAGGGTTGTGGGAAATTACCTTGCATTATCATAATTTACTGTAGTAATGTATACTTTATATTATTTTCAATTATTTATCTGGGGTTATGTGAATTTATGGTGGGTAATGGGAATTTAATGTAGTTATTTGTTTATATTTATTTGGGGGTTGGCATATTCATTTTTTAGATCATAATCTTTATTTTTTTTTTAAGGTATCTCATTTTCAATTCAAGTTTGTTGAATAATGTGTCTTCCATTCTTTTGTTTGTCTTGTCTATTTATTTTTTTTTGGGGGGGGGGGGGATGGGGAACAAGGGAAGCATAGGAATAGGAAAATAATGTGGATTTTGCTGAACATTGTATATTGTAATAAAAGATGTTGCTTTGTTTTCATGTGGTTGATTAACATTTACATACATCTACACATAGAAACAATAATGAACTTTGCAGGCATACATGTACATTAATGTCTATATAATGTTTGATCTTTTTCAGTGTCACACATATGTGTCATTAAGTAGGTAAAAGTAATAGTGATTGACCAACTTGTTTTAGGTGTGCATTATTGAAAAGAATTAAGTTTTGTTCAGAGATTAGAACTGGTATGTAAATCAAACTTGCAGAGAATCAAAGTATAATAAGACAAATATATCATGGGAATGTGTTTGATGAGTTAATTGTTAATTAAGCTTGGTTATGATGATGATGTCTTTCCAGAACTAAACATGCAAAACATTTTACAATGCATCTATGGATGTTTATACTGATGCTTGCAATGGATTCTGAATAAGCCTTACATGTGCTTTAGACACTCGTGCGGTGCAGTGTGATAGAGCTGCCTTTCTATGATGTTCTTTAAGTTGTATCGAACCCATGTTTGCACATATTGTGTGCCTATACACATGAATGCTTTGCCCTAATGCAGCTTTGTATGCTGCATCTGACCTATCTTTTATGACACAATCTACACTGTTTCATAAATTACTTGCTTTTGTTGCAAGTCAATGAGAACCAGTTTAGCTCATCAGGTACATCCACCTTAAGCTTTGTTTTTCAGATAAATCAGGGTTTTGTGCATGTTAACCTTATTTTGTTACATGTAACTTGATACCTTTATATGCTTTATTATGTATTTATTGGTTTTTTTATGTAAATAAATGTGTATTTATTTGTTAGTTGTGTAATCTTTTAAATGCATTTCTAATGTCATATGAAATGATTTAAGTAAATGTTCATGTAGAGCTGCCTGCATGGTGCAGTGGTTAGATCTCGAGCCTTTGCTCTAGAGCTGTGGAGTAAAGTGTTGAACCTTAAGTCACAGGTTCGAATCTCACTGTGGGATATGGAGACTGGTACTTCGGATAAGGTCATATCAACCAAGGTCCCGTGTCACAATAGGTGTTGGCAAGAAAAAGATCCCTCAATGCTCATTGGCCCCGAGTGCCAGGTATAGGTCTAAAATTTACAGCCCTCCATCAGCAAGTGCTGATGTCTTAAAATGAGTGAAAAATTCTCAAAAGGGGCATTGAAGAAAGAAACGTATAAAGCTGAACTTTGGTATCTGGAATAATACCATGGATATTTTATGAAAATGTAAAAAGAAAAAAAAAGTTGTTTATCCCAGATTTGAAAGAAAAGTAATAAGCTGGATGTCCTGAGTGCCAATAAATTTTGTCTGAAATTTAGGTCTCAAGATCAGATCAGAAAAACTCAAATTAATTAATATTCCAGGTTAGATTTAAATAAAAAATTAAATGTTCAAATATGTTGAAAAAAAAAAGTTATTTTGAATTGAAACAAAATAATGAGGAAGAATGAGGCGAGGACCCCTTTTGAAGCTATTATTCCTCGATTATCAAAGTTTATTTTCTCGGAAAGTACATGTATAAATTGTCAGTACCCATGTAATGTCATCTTTCGTATGTAACGGGAAATCCTGGCATAAAACAACACAGAGAAGAATGTCCAGTTTTCAATAAATTGATCATCATTTCAATATTTATATATGATATAACAACTGGCTCTGAAATTAATATAAAACACACAATAATACTAGAATGGTGCTATAAAAATATAATAATAGATATACATAAGAATCATTATAAACATTGTGTCATAAGTAAATATTTCGCTATATGGAATTTACTACTGCTTTCCACGTATAAAGGGAGGTAACTCTTATAACCTTAATTGAAATACTTTTCACCATCGTGAAGAGTTATCTTTCTTATTTAGAAAAATAATGAAATTATGGAACCAAGTCTACCTTACAACTGTAGGTCTTCAAATACGAAAATAAGCTATAATAATAAGAAAATTAATAAATTCCTAAAGATATGCTCTTTACAATTCCTCTGTATATGCCTCTGTCTTTGTCCAGGAATTTGCCAGAATTACGTAAACTGATGAAATTATAGAACACCTTTCTACAACTTTCTGCATGTCTTAAAACATCCAAACTGAATAATGTTTACTCTGAGTGTAATACATCTACTACCACCTTTTTCTAAACACTTTTCTCAATAATAACAAAAAGTGCATGCATACTGGTATTATCTTCAAACAAAATTGTAGGAAAG